AGGCTTGTTGTACTCCTCGTCCTCCACCTCATTCTCCGAGGCCTCTCCGGCCGGCCCCGAGTGGTTGGTCTGTGTGGAGCTGGGCTCAGAGGCGCTCTTCTTCCTCCACTTGGTGCGCCGGTTCTGAAACCAAACCTGAAAACACACAACGCACGGGGGAGTTGTCATCTAACTCCTGTAGACCGGAGCCCTGCAGCTTATCGAGTATTCTTTTAAGCATTGTGTTACGTGAAAAGGTATGGAAAAATAATCTGTGTCCCCATTTCTGCTTGAGGGTGAGTATGTGCTGGTATATGATCTGCAGATTTCTATCGCTGCACTTGAATTTACACACGACATGTATGCTTTTTTTATGTGGCAGCTTTCAAAACAAGTCAACACTACTGGGTATAAAAAACAAATATACCACAAGGAATATATATCAGTGGAACTGTCGAACACACACAAAAATAAAAATCTTATTTACACTCATCTCAAATGTAAGCAGATTCTGGCGACGTTACCTTGACTTGTGATTCAGTCATTCCCAGAGAATAAGCCAGTCTCGCTCTCTCTGGCCCTGCCAAATACTTTGTCTGCTCAAAAGTTTTCTCCAGAGCAAATATCTGATGTCCACTAAATGTCGGCCTGGTGTGTTTTTTCCTGCTGGACATCTCCCCAAGAGGACCACTGCCTGAAAAAAAAATAAAATAAAAACACATTACAGGAAACGGATGTATGACACAGGACTGAATTTCTGCCTGAAATGCCACAGCATTTTGGCTCATTGCTCAGGGAAAAAAATGACCACATATATATTTCCCTCATAGACTGCATGTATTTGTTGTTTATACACTGAACCGAAGTAAAATGTCTCCATTTGTGAATTAAATGAAACATAATTTTTCAATCATCTACATAATTGAATGAAATCTTTTGAATGAATATTTGACATGTTTATTAAATAAATTGTTTTTAAAAGATCTGTTTGTATTTTCCTTTAGTCTGCACAACCTCTAATAAACAACAGATTGTTACATAAATGGATTTTCAAGGTTTTAATACAAAAAGAGAGAAAAAGTTTTAGTCATATCAAAAATCTAACCTCGAGTCTGAACTCAATAGATAACAAGTTTATAACAGATCTGATTCTGAAATTTGTGTATTTACTGGATAATGTTTCCATTTTTAAAGTGGAAGATCAGAGTGTGATGACAGTGCTGAGGAGCTGCTGCTGCTGCTGAGCCCGCTCTGCAGTATTTAGACTCACTGTTGGTGCACTGCTGCCTCCCTCCTCTCCACTCACAGCTACTTTCTGCCCAGCAGTTTACACTGCGACTCTTCATCGGGCACTCAGCGCCGGGTTTGGAGAAGCCGCCCAGTGAGGAATTGTAGTCTCGATTGTAGTACATGGAAGTGCTGGTGACAGAGGGGCTGAACCCCCCCATGCTGGAGTATCCGGGCAGCAGGGTGGCGGTGCCCGAGGAGCCCACCCCGACCATGGAGCGGCTCAGGATGTCACTGATGCCATGAGGCGTCCCTGGCTGCAGCTGGCTGTTCAGGCCCGGGCTGAGCTTGTAGAAGGAGTTGGGCATTGAGTACTGGCACACTGGTGCCTTGATGTCTGAGGGGAACTGGTTGAGGCTGTTGTTAAACAGGAAAGACCCCTGGATGTTTGGATCCATGGGAAGTCTGGTAACTCTTCCTCTAGGTCTTATCAACACATCCAATGAGATCCAAGTAGAAAAAGATATTTGGTGGCCAAAGAACGAGCTCTCTCACCAGCAGATGAGGTCGGAGTTTGGTACCACACCCTCCGTCTCCAGATAGTCAAACAATTAGGAACACGAGCAGCAAAGTCTCTGATCTTTGTCAAAGTTGCCACCACATCCGAAAAATAAACTTCACTCGCACATTTGATTTCTTCTTATCCACAGCTTGGCATGTGATAGCTCCATATCTGAAGTCTCCTGCGAGTCCTCTGGACACGGATTTTAGTGTTCTCCGAAAGACATATGCCTCCCGCTGGCTCCCTCCTCAGAAATCATAAATAAGCAGTATCTGGAAATGGAGTGGCACCTTGATAAAGATAGGCCACATTAGAATGCAGCTTGGGATTGGCCTGGGTCTCGCAGCATTAATGCCATTCTATTGGCTCCTCGGTGAAAGCCAAGCCTTTTATTGGAAGGCAGCAGATTAATAGCGTTTTGAACAGGTGGAGTGGGAACAAGTTGATTTTTTGATGGCCTGCCATGTGTGAGTGCAGCTGGAGTGAAGAGGAGGAGTGGAGGAAGGGTTCCCCTGTTTCCTAGTTTGATAGCAGAACAGTCCAGTTTTGGATATAGAAAATGTTAAATGTTTGTTGTATATTATATAATTATAAAATGAAAAACTAAACATAAAGACTTGGTTTACAGATAGACATTCTTAAATCTGTGATGTGTGAGGATTTGGTCTATCATTATTTATTTTCCTCTTTCCTATTCCTATTTATAAATCTATTTACCTCCACCGAGGCATTATCAGAAAGGTGATCAATCTAAGCACCACCCTTAGTCAAATATATACTCACTGGCCACTTCATTAAGTACACCTCTACAACTGCTGGTTAATACAAATATCTAACAGCCAGTTACCAGGCAGCAACTCAGTGAACTGAAGCATGTAGATGCGAGTAAGACAATATGTTCAAAGCAAGTATTGAAATGGAGAAGAAAGATGATTTACATGAGTTTTGAGGCTTTTGAGGCTGGTTCTGAGGGAGTCTCTTCCTGTTAAAATGCCATTTTCCTTCCCACAGTCACCAAGTGCTTGCTCATAAGTAGGTTGTTTTATTGTTGGGGTTTTCTCTGTATTATCGTGAGGTCTTTATAAAGCACCTAGAGGCAACTGTTTTTGTGATTTGGTGCCATAGAAATGAAACGGGATTGAACTGAATTGCCATTATAAGATTCTGCTGAGACATTTGGTCAGAATTTGGCATGAAAACAAAATGAAACCATGGATCCATCCTGGCTTCTTGTTGTTGGTAGGATATTTTCTTGGTTTTGAACCCCTTAGTGCCAAGTGACATGATTTAAACTCCACAGCCTACCTGAGTGTTGTTATTCACAACATTTGTTCCTTTATAACCACAGTACACACATGTTCTGGTGGGTGTCACAGAGCTCAAATAATCTCAAACTGGTTTCTTGAACATGAAAATGAGTTCACTGTACTCACTTGGCCCCCGTAGTCACCAGATTTCATTTTAATAGAACACCTTTGACATGTGGTGGAACAGGAGCTTTGCATCAAGGATGCACAGAAACGATGTTGCTGCAGATTTGACAGTGTGGGCCAAAATCTCTGAAGAACATTTTTAGCACTTTGTTGAATTAGGACACTGAGAATTAAGGGAGGAAAAAAAATGCAGTAAAGTTGCTCCTGTGGCCCAGCATCTTACAGAGTTTTACTTTAATTTGTCGCACATCTATATCTTTAATCTCTTTAAACAAAATGTGTCTTACACAGAGTTGTCAGGCAAAGGACATTGGTTAAATTAAATGCCATATTCACTGGCAAAATCTCATTTCTTATTTTATTTATCAGTGTAATAATGTGTCATGTAATCCACTCTGTTTTTGCACATTAACAAACTATTGAGGAGGACAGGCAACTGTGTCATTTAACTATGTGGCATAAAAAAAAACCCATCAGATTTTATAATCATGCAAATGAATTGTTGTGATTTATATTAGAGTTATTCTGTGGACTTGTTTCTGGGAAACAGCAGCAGCACAGTGGCTGCTTTGAAAAGAGTTAATGACTCAGGCAGACCTTGGTTTCTGTGTTGCAATAGCTTTAGCACAATTTCCTCACCCATTATCATGTAGGTTAAACATGTCCTGTGGGAGGACTATTTCCGGCCTCATATCTGGACTTTTCTTTTTCGTGTTTCTTGGAATTTCTTTAACTATTTGATTACAGTTTAATAATAAACCTTTATGTAAACTTACAGATATCAGGTTATGACTTTTATTATTTGTATTTTTTTGTTTTTTAAATAAAGTACTCAATGCTTTAAGTGCATGACATATAGAAAGTATTGCATTCTTAACCCAATAGGCGCAAAATACAAGTTGAATGACATAATTAGTGCACACAACACGCTCTTCTCATTTCACAATCAGTTTTACACGTTGGAACACATCGCTGCTTTTACGTACAGTCTATCAGTGACGAAATGTTGGGATTTTCTTGGGAAAAGGGGGAGAGCTGGTAAATTTCCGAACGTCATGATCTCACAGCTGTTACAAGCTCACGGGACCTGAGCAGCCAATCATAGCGCCTGTAGAGGGCGACACATCCGCTTTAGAGATTAATCACAACCAGCCAGAGATGTGTAATGAAGCGTCACGTGCTTTCATTGCAGGCATGTCTAGATTCTCCTTTAAGTTCACACTCACAGTCATTCCGGAAATAATATGTTTGATATGGTGAAAAATTTCCATGATGCAAATCTTAAAACAAGATAATATAATTGGTATTTAATGTGTTTAATGGGAAGGAGGCTCCACTGCATTTCTGATAGAAACAGCAGTGAGTGCAGCATGTTAAGTGAAGAAAACGATACTGAAAAATCTTTTTGAGACAGTGATACAGGACCAAACACATTCTTATTCGTCATGAACATTGTCTTTTGTCCTAAGCCACAAAATAATTACAGATAATGAAAATGAAACTAGTTGCACGTGAGCAGAATTCACACAAATCATAATGTGTCTGTGTGCTTTTTTGTTTGAACTTTTACTCCAAAGGTCAGTACCTAAAAAGAAATCACGAGACAAACAGTAATCTATGGGGGAAAAAAACCAAAAAACTACCCTGGTCTTTTTTTTTTCGGGGGGGATTTTAGGTGAATTTCCAAAGTATGGCTCCTCCCTCCCTCACTCCCGTCCGTCCCACTTCTTTAACTTGTCATGCTGGAATTGTTTCTGTTTCCAAACCACATGTGCTCCAGACCAACACACAGACGCGATCACATCTTCTATTCAGACGCATATGAGAAATATTACTTATCTCTTCAGGATGGTGAAGGAGAGCAACAACACGAACTCCGGTAAGTCCTTATAGAGAATTTGATGCATAAAAAGCAACAAGAAAAAGTTGTAATTGATTTTACTAAATGAAAGAGCAATGCAAATTCAATTTCACATGTTAGTAGCATTTTTTTTTCTTTTTGTGTGTAAAAGATATTTTCTAAACTGTTGATTAAGAAATGTTTTATGGCTGTGGCACCACTGCAGATAAGAGAGGGAGAACAGAAAGTTTATATTTTACAGGAAATGGTCTGCTTGTTACTGATGAAGGTATACACAATAACTGTGTGAGTCACACCTGCAAGATAAATCTTTGAAACTGCAGACGAAGCTGACTGCAACTCACCTTTGACAGATAGATGAGGCAACTTGTAGAGTTCGCTTTAAGCTTAAGGTTACTAAGCGTGGATGAAACTTCATGTACTAGTCAAAAGTGAACACTCTTGAACTACTATATTAGTTACGTTAACATGATTTAAAGTATAATTACTAATACATAGATCAAATATTAACAAATAAAATTTCACAAGAATGTTTTGTTAAAGTAAATGATCACACTCACACAGCTTGAATCTGACTGATGATAGATCATAGAACCTGTTAATTAACCATTAAATGCAAGTATATTGTTACAGTAGTGATTTTCATTTACTAAACCATGTTCTGCCTGTAAAATAATTTGTTGTGTTTGTGTTTTTATTCTTTGTAGTTCTCCAGTCAGAGGTGTCACACAGATGCAGTCTGCTCTGTCTCGGTCCTCTGAACTTCCACCGTCAGGCTGTGGGAGAAAAGATCTGCCTGAGTCATGGAGGTCGACTCGCAGAGAAGACTGAGGCCACGTTCAAGAATGGGCTGGTGTTCAGCAGCCGTCCAGTGAGAGTCCAGGAGAGGATTCGTCTGAGAGTGCAGAGGGATTCATTCATCTGGGATGGAGCTCTGCGTGTGGGCTTTACCAACGTGCCACCCTCAGCCAGATCTCTACCTTTGCCCTGCATGGCCATTCCTAACCTCACTGACAAGCCTGGACACTGGGCTGTTCCACTGGATGAATCTGTTTGTGAAGCAGGTTCAGAGCTGGAGTTTTGGGTTTCTCGTGGTGGCAGCATATACGTAGCTGTCAACAACAGGCCGTGTAAGAAGCTAACAGGAGTGAACCTCAGCCAGCCGCTGTGGGCCATGATAGACATCTACGGGCAGACGTGCTCCATTTTGCTCCTAGGCAAGTTCACTAGAACCACAGTTATATTTGCCTTACAGCAGCTTTTCTCGGTGTCCAAAGGCACAGCATGCTCTGACAGTGATAAATGTCTGAATGCCTATTAAAACATTTTTTTCTCTTTGCTGCAGGTTCAGAGAAACGTGAGCTGTTTTGCACTAGAAGATCGTGTCCTCCACCTGAATCTCTCACTTCACTTGCTGGTTCAGTTTCTGATGTTTCAGACTTCACTGATGATGACTGCATCTCCTGTCTTGACACAGAAGTCCCAACAGGTAAAAAGAGTTCCTTTAAACATTGCTGATTTCAGTTGCACATTTCACACAGAGTGTGGTCTCATTTCCTGATGTCACATTTTTCTAATTCAGGATCTCTCTCTTCTGCTCACAGATATAACCTGTGCGGTGTGCATGGTGAAAGAGGCCAGAATCACACTGCCGTGTGGCCACCGGTGTTTATGTAGACACTGCAACTCCAGAGTTTTTCAGGAGTTTGGCACCTGCCCGCTGTGTCGACACAAGATCAGAGCTCCATCGGCAGAGGAGCTGGTCTGAGCTCCGAGACAGAAGCCAGAAATCACCAAAGAGAAGTTACAGAGTGACTGTAACAGTGAAAATACTGCACTAAATGCAAAATCTGCTGCTATTTCTATATTATTTATAATGATAACTTTGTCTGTACAGCGTACTTTTCTACCTCGATGTAAATCTTAAAGCAGTGTTGTATTTTTGTCTAAAAATTGTAATGTGTTGATGGTAAAAAAGATAAACTCTGTTATGTTTTAAGAGTTAAAAATAACCTCAAAAACAATATTTTTCAATGAAGCGTGTTTTGGAAAAGAAGCATCTGTCTACAGCTCATATCTCTACAGTCAGGAATGAGCGGACGTGAAAATAAATGTTGGTTTTCAGATAAGAGCAGACTGTGTGGCTGATAATAGAAAAACTACACTCCCAAATCACTGATCAGGTCATGTTGTGGCCACCAAACATAATCATAGCGATCTTAATTTAACACAAACACATTTTTTACCTTTTAATTCACAAACATGTGTTTATATAATTCTTTAAATGTGAAAGTAAATGAACCTAGTTCCATCATTACTTGATTTTTACATATTTCAATATTTATAAAATGTTTCATCAAACTAAAAATAAATAATCAGAGTGAATTATTACATAAAAGTGGTCAAAATAAACTGAAACAGCAAATATTTGTTTGCACTTTGTCCTTGAAGGCTAAAATTAACACAATCAGACATGTTTGTGCTGCCTTTGAGTTTGTGTTCAGTACTTAAAGTTGGTGTTTATGAGTAAAAACTAACAATATTAAATCAATCTGTGAACAGAAAACGTAACAACAGTAAGACCTTTGGTGTGAGCAGAAATGGGCAGTAACGCATTTAAGGTAACGTGCTTTCAAGTAATGAGTAAAGCAAGGGATTACTATTGCAAAAAATGTAATTAGATTACTGTTACTTTCCCGTAAGCACGCTGCATTACTAAACTGTGATTTTGTTTGCGGGAGTGTCTCGTGACAATGACGTACGAGCGTGCGACGCCCGTGGCAACAACAGATGTGTGTTGATCAGCAATGGATAATATGAAGTGTGGGAGACAGTACGGCCATCCAGCGTTTAAAACGTGGACGTACTGACCTTACTTTGAGTTTGATTCCGTAAAAAGTGACAAAAACATTAGCTTCCACTGTACACACTGAACAGGAATGTGAAATTCACAGAGAAACCCCAGCATCCCCCCACTGACATGACCGCTGCAGCATCAGGCAAACCTCCGCCTGCTCCACTCCTGCTAAACAGGTGAAAATAGACTCAAGAGTGACAGGACTTAGTGCCACTGAATCTTTGATTTTATTTATTTATTGCTGTGTTTTACTTGCATCTATTTGAAAGAGTGAATATAAACACAAAAAAATAATTTTATTTTATATGCTGGAATATGCAGAAAGTAGGTTAAAAAAATGTCTCCAAGTCAAAGACTTGCATGTATAATTTTTGCTTAATGCAATATGCATAAAGTTAAAAGATTAAAACTAATACAACAATTTTTAAAAGAGACTTTTTCACTTGATTCAATTTTATATGATGGATTTTGCAGAATAAATAGAATTGGGATAAAATGTCTATTGCTTTATTAGATATTCAAGTTGTGTAACTAAGTAATAAAGTAAATAATTACTTTTGAAAAAAAGTAACCAGTAAAGTAACAGGATTACTTTCAGTAGTCACTAATTAGTAACTAATTACTATTTTCAAGTAACTTGACCAACACTGGTCTTTAGGTTTCCTGATGTCTTCATTTAGCTGATATTGGCGCTCCAACACACCCAACTGTGAACACAAGTTAAAATTTAGATGACCATAAATGTTGGTATGTCCACTGTAACAAAGAGCTCAAAAAAGCCCCAAATTCAGGACTCCGAACTCTTGGAAAAATTCCAAATTCAAAAACTTTAAATCCAGACGATGGTCGTTTCAATCATTTTGTGGATTCAAACCATTCAGGAGGAGCAGAGGATGCCTGAAATCCAAAAAACTGGCAAAAGATCTACAACATGTATAAAATAGAAGAAAAGTTCAAACTTGAATTCAAAAGGGGAATAAAAGAAAATTAGAACGACAGCAGCAATACGTCACTACTGAAAGAACAACACAGGAAATAGGAGAAGCCACAGAGGTGGTACAGATGATTAAATAATTAAAATAATTTTCTCAAACCAAGGTGGAGAATCTGACGAAACTAACAAGGGTGCAAAGAACATTGGAATAAAAAAATAAAAGAGGAAATGACTAATAATCAAATCACCAAATTATGTTATTGTTCACATCAGGTAATTTTCCAAACTTTGGTGCCTCCCTCTGTCCCTCCCCATTCCCTTTACTGGTGATGCTGGGCGTGTGTTCATACTTCACGTACTTCATCATTCAAAGGTAGTTAACACTCATGACTTGATGACTCTCAACCTCATCCATCAGGACTCACATGACAAGATTTATTTGCACCTTCAAGATGGCAAGAGAAAGTAAGAACAAGAACGCTGGTAATTCTTTACAGAGAATTTTATATCTTAGTTTGATAAAGGAATCATTATCAAGATGATGTTTGGTTGCAAAAATCAACTTACAGCAGCTCATTTCATTCTTTTACAGAAACATCATATAAAAACAAGACAATGCAAAAGTAAACATTGAAAAACAGCAAAGTGCCATAAAGCAAGTGATTAGCAAATGAGTTCAAAGACAGAGTGCTAATAATGAGCTGCACACTGAAGTTTCTTATAAAAAGAAACTAGAAGCTTTGTTTCTTTGGAAATTAAAATCTTTCCAATGATGATAAAACACAGAAAACAAATCAACACAGGCCATCTAGTGGACTGAGACGGCAACACAGACTTCACCAAACAAACACTGCAATCTCCAGCACTGAATTTCTCAGCTTGGATGAAGTCCAGACCAAACAAGCTTCTTTGTGAAACCACAGCAGTTTTCTGTTTACATGTTTATCTATTTCTAGACTATTAAGAGGAAACTTTGGCTTTAAATGTATTATTAAATATGAAGCAATAACTTTGATATGTAGCTTCTTTTAATTAAGTAAATGTGATATGTCACCTACCTGAAAAATGTGCAGTTAAAAAATCTTGAATAAATCTTAGGACACAGACATGGTTTCATATGTTTCCATTTTCTATCTTTGTAGTTCTTCAGTCAGAGGTGTCACACAGATGCAGCTCACGCTGTCTTGGTCCTCTGACCTTCCACAATCAGGCTGTGGGAGAAAAGGTCCGCTTGAGTCATGGAGGTCGACTCGCAGAGAAGACTGAGAACACCTTCAAGAATGGGCTGGTGTTCAGCAACCGTCCAGTGAAGATCCAGGAGAAGATTCATCTGAGAGTGCAGAGGGATTCGACCAACTGGGAGGGAGCTATACCACTGTGCCACCCTCAAGCAGATCTCTACCCCTGCCCTGCATGGCCATCCCCAACCTCACTGACAAGCCTGGACACTGGGCTGTGCCTGTAAATGAATCCTACTGCCAAGCAGGTTCAGAGCTGAAGTTTTGGGTTTCTCATGGTGGCAGCATATACGTAGCTGTCAGCAACAGGCGGTATAAGTGGCTGACAGGAGTGGACCTCAGCCAGCCTCTGTGGGCCATGATAGACGTCTACGGCCAGACGCGCTCCATTTTACTCCTAGGCAAGTTCAACTACAGTTATATTTGCCTTACAGCAGGTTTTTCCTGTTCTGTGAAGGCACAGCAATTCCCATGTTCTGACAGCGATAAATGTTGTCTGAATGACTTTTAAAATATTATTTTCTCTGTGCTGCAGGCTCAGAGAAAAAAGATCTATTTTGTACCAAAAGATCCTGTCCTGCACCTGAACCCCTCACCTCACCTGATGCTTACAGCCACTTTGGTTCAGTTTCGGACTTCAGTTGTGATGACTGCATTTCCTGTCTTGACATGAAAATGCCAGGAGGTGAAAACAGTCCCTTCAAAAGTCGCTATCTGATTTCAGTTGCACATTTCACACAGAGTGTGGTCTCATTTCCTGATGTCACATTTTTCTAATTCAGGATCTCTCTCTTCTGCTCACAGATATAACCTGTGTGGTGTGCATGGTGAAGGAGGCCAGAATCACACTGCCGTGTGGCCACCGGTGTTTATGTAAACACTGCAACTCCAGAGTTTTTCAGGAGTTTGGCACCTGCCCGCTGTGTCGACACAAGATCAGAGCTCCATAAGCTCTGATCTTGTGAGTAGTGGTGTGTTTCAAGTCTGGTCTGAGCTCCTAGACAGAAGCCAGAAATCACCAAAGAGAAGTTACAGAGTGACTGTTACAGTGAAAATACTGCACTAAATGCAAAATCTGCTGCTATTTCTATATTATTTATAATGATAACTTTGTCTGTACAGTGCACTTTTCTACCTCGATGCAAATCTTAAAGCAGTGTTGTATTTTTGTATGTCTGAAAATTGTAATGTGTTGATGGTAAAAAACATAAACTCTATTATGTTTTAAGGGTACATGCTGTAACAAAACCCTCAAAAACAATTTTTTTCAGTGAAGTGTGTTTAGGAAAAGAAGCATCTGTCTACAGCTCATATCTCTACAGTCAGGAATGAGCGGAAGTAAAAATAAATGTTGGTTTTCAGATAAGAGCAGACTGTGTGGCTGATTGTAAGAACAGAAATGTGCTACAATGTGTTCATTTCCAAACGTGCATTTGTGTTTGCACGTAGGAAGAATAATGATGCAAATATGCATAAAAAAATTACACTCTCAAATCACTGATCAGGTCATGTTGTTGTCACCAAACATTACCCTTTATCCTTTAACATTTTTACCCTTTAATCTACAAATATACGTTTATATGAAATCCACTTGTCCACTCTGGTGCTATGTGCGCTGGTGTGTTGACCTCCTAACTATAATAAGAACTTTATACAAGACTTTTCTGAATTCTTGGCTGGTGTTCTACCAAAATATGACAGTGTTTTAATCATACGAGATTTTAATATTCATATTTGCTGTTTAGATACCCCACTGACCAATGATTTTTTTAAACCTTATAGACTCCTTTAATCTTGTCCGGTCAGTCAAAGGCCCAACTCACGAACGCGGTCATACCCTGGTTCTCGTACTCTCTTACGGCCTATCAGTCACTGACACTGAAATCTGTAATATACATTTTTCGGACCACATGCCTGTCCTATTTGAGTTTCCCTTTTCAGGTCAGCCTGGTAGATCTGTTGTGCCCAAGCTCCGATCTTGCACGATTAATTCAAATACAGCAGATCGCTTTGCCCATTCCTACAAAAATCTAAATCCGGCATCACCTACTGACAGTACCACTCATTCGACCACTGATAGTCTGCTTTCCTTGTTCAGCTCAGCTTGTCTGGAAATACTGGATTCCATTGCTCCTTGTACCACTAGGTATCTAAAACCTAAAACCCAACCGTGGTTAAATAATGACACCAGGGAATGCAGACGGGCATGTAGAAAAGCGGAAAGAAAATGGAAAAAATACCATCTCCAAGTGTCGTTTGAGGCACTTAGAGAATCCCTGTCAAGTTGCCAGAAAGTTGTAAGAGCAGCTAAAATAAAATACTTTTCCAAGATCGTGTCCAACAACTGTCATAAACCTCGGATTTAATTTGGTATTATAAACTCAGTTCTTAATCCTCCCACTGCTGATCCTCATATAGCAGTGAACATAAGTTGGAATCTAATGAAATTCTTCATTAATAAAATTGTAGATATTAGATCCCACATTATTCCTCCCATTTCTGACCCAGGTGTTTATACTCCAACCTTGGCTGTTTTTGATCACTTCGAGCCAGTATCCCTTTCATTACTTAATGAAGTTGTCAGAAACTTGAGACCTTCAAAATGTACCCTGGATATCATTCCACCTAGGTTACTGAAAGATGTTTTTTGACACTGCTGGTACATGTCTTAACAGTTAAGCCCTTTCTCTGTTTCAGAGATTTTGAGAAAGCGATCCATGCCTTCATCTCATCTCGCCTCGACTTCTGTAATAGTATCTACTCTGGTTCACCTCTTCATCAATCGGTCGACTGCAGCTAGTTCAAAACGCTGCAGCACGGCTCCTAACTGGCACACGCAAGCGAGATCATATATCTCCTATACTTCCATCACTACACTGGCTGCCAGTCAGCTTTCGAACTGACTTTAAGATCTTAACACTTGTTTTTAAGTCGTTGCATGGACTAGCCCCTACACATCTTGCTGATCTCCTAACCTGGTATTCTCCCCCAAGATCCTTGAAGTCTGCAGACCAAATGCTTTTTGTTATCCCTAGGTCCAAATTAAAACATAGAGGAGACTGGGCATTTGCTGGGACTGCCCCCAAACTTTGGAATACATTGCCTTTGCATATCAGATCCTCCCCAACACTGGATACTTTTAAAAGTCGTCTAAAGACCCATTTTTAATCTCTGGCTTTTGGTTCTTCATGAGTTTGTTACTATTATTCTTTTTTTATGATTTTATTCTCTTTTTAAGGATGTTATTCTCTTCTAAAACACTATTCAGTTTTTTTATGTTTATTGCCTTGTCCATTTTATTGTACAGTACTTTGGTCAACACCTGTTGTTTTAAAAGTGCTATATAAATAAACTTGAACTCGAACTTGAACTATATAATTATTTAAATGTGAATGTTTGGATTTGGATCGAAGTCATCAGAAATGTCAATATGCCCACTTGGAAAAAGCCCCACATTCAGGACTCCAAACTCTCGGAAAATTCAAAACCTTTAAATCCAGGCGATGGTCCGTTTAGTCATTTTGTGGAATCAAACCATTCAGGAGGAGCAGATGAAGCCTGAAAACCAAAAAACAGGCAAAAAATCTAAAACATGGAGAGAGTGAAAAAATAAGGTTGAGGAAAGAAATGAGACTAGAGGGATAAAACAAACATGCTCAAACTTGAAATCAAAAGAAAAAACATGGAAAGGACAACATGGCAAATGGGGGAAACCACTGAGGTGGTACAGGTGAGAGAACAGCAAAACATGAGAACTTAGTGCAACAAGCAACTCCTCTTGAAAGGCCAGGGCTGTAGTCATAGGGGCATTGTTAAAACCCCCAAAAAGTGTGTTGTACAGCTCACTCCATACCCTCTCATGTAATATATTGTTCTTGGTATGGTTTGTAAAAGGAAAGAAATAGACGACTGTTAAAACTCTGATTAAGTGACACAAAAACAAGACAATCCAAACATAAGCATTAAAAAGCTGCAAAGTGCCGTAAAGCAATTAGAGTTCAAAGAAAGAGTGCTAATAATGAGCTGCACACTGAAGTGTTAAATGATGGCGATAAGAAAAAGAAACTACAAACTTTATGGTTCTGTGGAAATAAAAATCTTGTCACTGACGATAAAACACTGACAAGGTACCTGCGTGTGGGTGTGTCACATCAGCAAAACAAATCAAGACAAGCCATCTAGTGACTAAAACTGCAACTCAGACTTTACCAAAGAAACGCTGCAGTTTCCAGCATTGACTTTAATTTCTCATCTTGGATGAAGTCCAGATCTTCACATTCTTCTCTAAAGTGAAAGCACAAGAGTTTGCTAGTTTCATTATGACTTATTACATGTTTAACTACTGTATATCTACACTGCTAAGAGGTAACTTTGGATATATTTTCCACAATTTACATTTATTAAATAAACATGAAGAAAAGATTTTGAATACGTAGTTTGTTTTATTCAGCTAAAGCCATATGAAGTATATCACCAACTCAACAACAAACTTGTATTATTATTATAAAACATTAAATGTAACTATAAAAAATAGAAGAAATGTTTCAATTTTCGTGTTTTAGATTTTTTCTATTGCATTTGCTATTGTGATGAGTGATTGCAAGATTAGACTCATGTGACATTTCAAACTGGAAGAGCCATAGAGATGTTACATGTACACACTGAATGGCAATCAGCTGATTAAAACAACAACAAACTACTGGAGGGAAATGCACAAAGAGAAGATACTAAACTAACAAGGGTGGAAAGGAAACTGGGAATCCACAATAAAAGCCCAGATCACCAAGTTTTGTTATTGTACACTTCAGGTAAATTTCCAAACTTTGGTGCCTCCCTCTGTCCCTCCCCTTTGTCTGGGTGTGTTTCTGTTTTCAAACCTCACGTACTCCATGATTAAAAGGTAGTCAACACACCTGACTTGAGGACACTCGACCTCATCATGCATCAAGACTTGTATGACAAGTTTTTTCTACATCTCCAAGATGGCAAGAGAAAATAAAAACAAGAACTCTGGTAAGTCTTTAGAGAGAACTATATTTCTCAGTTTGATAAACAAATCATTATCAAGCTGATACTTAGTTGCATAAATTAACACATAACAGCTGTTTATGTACTTTTATTGTAATACACAGTAAGGGGGTGCAAAATGCTGCAGCTCAAAAGATTTTGCAAATTTCCCCAAATCTAGCATGTGCTCCAGTGCAGCACCAGTTTTGTCATTTAAGAAGTAGTATCCCTGTTAAGACAACACAATACAAAGCAAAGTGCCAAATAATGAACTAAGTTTACCACTCAGACAACTTGTACCAAACAAATGCAACTTTGTGCAACGACTTTAGCTCGTCAGCTTGAAAGACGTCCAGATTTCCGCATGCTTTGCAAAAACAAGAGTGCGGGAGTTTGCTAGTTTTATTCTGACTTATTTATATGTCTGCTTTTGTACTGTTAAAATGAAAATGAAATTTTGGCTACAGTTTGCACAATTTAACTTTAATATGAAGTATTAAAAACAGCTTGACATATGTAGCTTCTTTAATCCAATTAATATGGCAATTCACCTATTAACACAGCATTATTTTTATTTTTATTAGTATTATTATCATTATTATTATTTTATAAGAATGAAAATTATAAAAATTTGCGACATGACCAATTGACCTTTAAACTGAAAAAATCTTTGTTGAACTTTTTAAAATTTTAAACCTCATTTCAATTCAAGTCTGTCCTGTATCTAGCAAGTGAAAATAAAAATAAAATAAAATAAACAATAAAAGGTGAATCAAATAGACCATTACGGCAAGGCTGTGATGGTCAATTTGGTAAAGTAAATCCGTTGGGCATCTTTCCTCGCCTTAAGACAATAATTCTGATGGCAAAAGAACCAAACGGGACAGGCAAAAAAAAACCCCCAACCTAATTTCAGTTAAAAAAAATAGTTTTGAGGTTCCTACACATCACAAATGTAAGGGACACTTATTGTTATTGTGATTGTTGCTATTAAGTAATTCTCTGGAAATAACATGATTTGACATCAACATTCATAACTGTGTGTTTTTATTCTTTGTAGTTCTTCAGTCAGAGGTGTCACACAGATGCAGTCTGCTTTGTCTTGGTCGTCTGAACTTCCACCGTCAGGCTGTGGGAGAAAAGGTCCGCTTGAGTCATGGAGGTCGACTCGCAGAGAAGACTGAGAACACCTTCAAGAATGGGCTGGTGTTCAGCAACCGTCCAGTGAGAGTCCAGGAGAGGATTCGTCTGAGAGTGGAGAGGGATTCGATCAACTGGCAGGGAGCTCTGCGTGTGGGCTTTACCACTGTGCCACCCTCAAGCAGATCTCTGCCCCTGCCCTGCTTGGCCATCCCCAACCTCACTGACAAACCTGGACACTGGGCTGTGCCTGTAAATGAATCCTACTGCCAAGCAGGTTCAGAGCTGGAGTTTTGGGTTTCTCATGGTGGCAGCATATACGTAGCTGTCAGCAACAGGCAGCACAAGTGGCTGACAGGAGTGGACCTCAGCCAGCCGCTGTGGGCCATGATAGACATTTACGGGAAGACGCGCTCCATTTTACTCCAAGGCAAGTTCACTAGAACCACAGTTTTATCTGCCTTACAGCAGGTTTTTCCTGTTCTGTGAAGGCAGAGCATTTCATATGCACTGACAGCAATAAACAATGACTAACTGTTGAAATATGCTTTTGTCTTTGCTGCAGGCTCCAAAAAAACAAAGCTCCTTTGCACTAGAAGATCCTGTCCTGCACCCGAACCGCTCATCTCACCTGATTCTTACAGTCACTTTGGTTCAGTTCCTGATGTTTCAGACTTCAGACCTGATGACTGCATGTCCTGTCTTGACATGGAAATCCCAGCAGGTAAAAACAGTCCCTCCAAACATTAATGTCTGATTTCCGTTGCACATTTCTGACCACAGAGCGTGATCAGTGAAATCAGTTGTAATAGTGTGGTCTCACATATGCCTGATGTCGCATTTGTAATTAGAGTCTCTCTCTTCTGGTTATAGATAACGTCTGTGTGGTGTGCATGGTGAAGGAGGCCAGAATCACACTGCCTTGTGGCCACCGGTGTTTATGTAAACACTGTGACTCCAGAGTCTGTCAAGAGTTTGGCACCTGCCCGCTGTGTCGACACAAGATCAGAGCTCCATCAGTAAAGGAGAGGCGGTTTATAGACGTCTAAGCTCTGACACACCAGCCAAGAATCACCAAATATAAACTACCGACACACAGTGAATGGCACTTATTATGATGCTTTGTCATGTTTGGCTTTTCTGTTTTGTTAAACATGTAAAAATTTCAGAGTGATGAAATGTCCTCAAATTCATGTAAAGATGTCAAACTGGACTATTTTTATGTAAATATTGCAATTAAGTCAGTATGTGACGAGACAAAATATTGCACTAAGTGCAAAATATGTATGTATGTGAATATGTAAAATAGCATTATAACAAAAAATTTCTGTACAGTATATTTTATAGGTTGGTGTAAATCTTAAAGAGATGTTTGATTTTCATAAACTCGTTTTGTCTTAAAATTGTTATAGTGTTTGTGCTTTGGAAAGAAAACATAAATAACCTTGTTTCAATCATCATATTTTCTTCTCTAATGTGTTTTTAAGGATGTTGCTATAAGAAATAAATCAATAGCAGTGCATATTAAATAGAACATGTTGGGGGATAAAGAAATACACACGTGTGAACAGCGGTTAAACATACCTTAAAGATTAACAAGAGAACCAAATTGCAGTCATGACTGAACTGAACTATAAATAAATGGAGGGCATCATATAAGAAGAGACAGAGTAGCTTGAAAACAAAAGCTTGCTTGGAACACAAGAGCATTTTCAAACACTTAGTTGTGTCAAGACATCGCAGGAATAATGATGCTAAAGCAAAAAACGAAACTTTCAATCCAGCGATCAGGTCATGTTGTGGTTAGCAAAGATTACAAACAATCTCGCATTTTGTTTTTCAATAATTAATTGTACAATAAAGCATGCAATAAGAAATTCATTAATTCAAAACAATTATTTTTTATTTTCATGAATAAATTACATGTTGCGTGGAGATCAGGGGCAGTACCTGTGGACTGGCAGACCGGGGTGGTGGTCCCCATCTTTAAGAAAGGGGGACCGGAGGGTGTGTTCCAACTACAGGGGGATCACACTCCTCAGCCTCCCTGAGAAAGTCTATGCCAGGGTGCTGGAAAGGAGAGTTCGTCCGTTAGTCGAACCTCGGATACAGGAGGAACAATGCGGTTTTCGTCCTGGTCGCGGAACACTGGACCAGCTCTTTATCCTCTCCAGGATACTTGAGGGTGCATGGGAGTTTGCCCAACCAGTCTACATGTGTTTTGTGGACTTGGAGAAGGCATTCGACCGTGTCCCTCGGGGTGTCCTGTGGGAGGTGTTGCGGGAATATGGGGTGTCTGGCCCATTGCTACGGGCCATTCGATCCCTATACAACCGTTGCAAGAGCTTGGTTCGCATTGCCGGCAATAAGTCGGACTCGTTCCTGGTGGGTGATGGGCTCCGCCAGGGCTGCCCTTTGTCTCCGGTTCTGTTCATAATTTTTATGGACAGGATTTCTAGGCGCAGCCAAGTGGCGGAGGGCTTTCGCTTTGGTGGCCTCAGAATCTCATCTCTGATTTTTGCAGATGATGTGGTTCTGTTGGCTTCATCGGGTGAGGGCCTCCAGCTCGCACTGGAACGGTTCGCACCGAGTGTGAAGCAGCGGGAATGAGGATCAGCACCTCCAAATCTGAGGCCATGGTTCTCAGCCGGAAAAGGGTAGAGTGCCCACTCCGGGTCCGGGATGAGTTCTTGCCCCAAGTGGAGGAGTTCAAGTATCTCGGGGTCTTGTTCGCGAGTGATGGGAGAAGGGAGCCGGAGATCGACAGACGGATTGGGGCTGCAGCTGCAGTAATGCGGACGCTGCACCGGTCCGTCGTGGTGAAGAGGGAGCTGAGTGTAAAAGCGAAGCTGTCAATTTACCGGTCGATCTACGTCCCTACCTTCACCTATGGCCACGAGCTGTGGGTAGTGACCGAAAGAACGAGATCGCGGATACAAGAAATGAGCTTCCTCCGAAGGGTGGCTGGCCTCTCCCTTAGAGATAGGGTGAGAAGTTCGGCCATCCGGGAGGGGCTCAGAGTAGAGCCGCTGCTGCTCCACATCGAAAGGAGCCAGCTGAGGTGGTTCGGGCATCTGACAAGGATGCCCCCTGGGCGCCTCCTGGGTGAGGTGTTCCAGGCATGTCCCACCAGGAGGAGGCCCCGGGGCAGACCCAGGACACGCTGGAGAGATTATATCTCTCGGCTGGCCTGGGAAAGCCTTGGTATTCCCCCGGATAAGCTGGAGGAGGTGGCTGGGGAGAGGGAGGTCTGGGCCTCTTTGCTTAGGCTGCTGCCCCCGCGACCCGGCCCCGGACAAAGCGGATGAGGATGGATGGATGGATGAATAAATTAATGAACAATACAAAGAATTATAAATAAATATTCCTAAATAAACTACTATTCATAAATATTTCATATATAAAAGGGATTTATGTCAAATGAAGGCTGTGTGCAGGCAGGAATAGAGGACCCAATGTGCAGACTCACAGAGATGAATATGAACTCAGAACTCAGCTTTAATGCTACACAGCAAAAGAACAGAAAACTAACTAAACTTCAAATATTAACAAAAGAAAAACAGGCTAACCGGCAGAACACAGTATAGTAAGATGGAGACCACAGCACAGACAAAGGAAAACACAGCGCTTAAACACACAGAGGAGCAATCAGGGAATGGGGGACAGAAGGGAAACACGCTGGGACAGATCAGGCCTAACGTGACAAGGGAAGCAAAACACATTAACATAAGACACAGACCTTCAGAGTAAAACAGGAAACTTATAGACACAGACTCAGAAGCAGAGACAGACACTGCAACAGTGGGAACACAGAGACGTGGGACCAGGGCAGACATGAAGACACAGACTGGACACAGAACAATGGCAGATTGATTTTCAACAGCTCTTAACAAAAGAAAAGGACCCAGAACATCAGACATGTGTGAAGTTCAAGTTCCTGAACCACAAATTCAGGGCCATCTAGTGGACTGTTTTAGACTGCAGCTCACCCTCTGACAATCAAATGCAGCAGCTTCCAGCTTTTGTTTCAGTCCAGACCTTCATCTGCCTCTTTATAGTAAAACATGGTAACTTCCTGGTTTCTTTATTACTTTTTTATGATTTAATCTGTTTTATAATCACACTAAAATCATTTCAGAAGTATAAAAGAAGTATAAAAAAGTATATGACTATATGACTAACCAGCATCTCACTGTGACATCCAAACATGAAAACGTTACGCTTTTACCTTCCTTTTTGTCAAAAGGTGCTGGCAGAGGGAACTGTAGAAACATTACAACCCCTGCCAATATCTGTTATTAATTTGCTCTGGCGCAGATGTCTGATAACGCTCTCACTGATCATTCCTGTGTTTTCTCTGAGATAAGTCTCTCCATGCACAGATGCTCAGTAAATTCGATGAAGCCCAGAAAACATTAGTGAATTATATTTGTAGGCATGAAGGTGATTTTCAACCATAATGAAAATATGTGGTCATATTTGAAAAACAAACAATATTTTATTGTACACTTAATTATTTGATGTGTGTGACTCCTTTGGCTCCATACAGGTGGTGGTCGAGGCCTCTTCTTTGATGAATGCTCTTTTTCCAAGAATTTTAAAAACAATTACTTATATTTTATGATTTCATATTTTTGATTTTAAATTTGATCCATTGTATCAATTCATAATTTTAAAAAGTAATGTCCAATAACTATTTTTTATAACTGGTCCCACCTTTAATTTGCAGACAAAAAAAATGCAGTAAAAGAAACTAGAAAAAAAGGGCAACTACAGCAGGCAGCAGAGGGTAACAGCTCTCTTCTGTTGTGCATCAGGCCATATAACAGTAAGAAGGGTAAGGGAGATTTATTATCACCTGAAAACTCTATGTAAAAATAATGAATACAAATACCATTGTCTCCGTGCGAACTTATAATTCTGTAGGAGTCTGCTGGGTTTGAATTTTGATGTGATAGACATCTGCATCAGTGTATCAGTGTTAAAATAAATAAATTCATAAGCATGTAAAGGGACTGCTAATGAGCTCAGCTTATTTATCTTGTAAAAACCTATGTGCCCTTTGCTGGCTCAAGCACCTGCTCTCCAAAATCTCTGTGCAAAATTGTGGTTCTCAACAGGTCAATCTTAACATTCAAAAGGAAAAAGACCCAGGACATCAGACACATGTGAAATCCAAGTTCCTGAACTAGAAATTCAGGGCCATCTAGTGGACTCTTTTAGACTGCGGCTCATCCTCTTACAATCAAATGCAGCAGTTTCCAGTTTTCTCTTTAAGTGCTGTCTTCAGATAAAGTCCAGACCTTCCTGTGCCTCTTTAAAGTACAAACACAGGCTCTTCCTAGTTTCATTATTGTTTGTTCATGAATTCTTCTATTTTTATAATCACACTAAAATCATTTTCAAAAACATAAAAGAAATATAAAAAAGTATATGACTATCTGACTTACCAGCATCTTACATCCAAACACGAAAACTTGTAATGTTGTTACCTTCCTTTTTGTTAAAACATCAGTAATGTGAAAAAGAAAGCTTTCACGGGACTCTCTGCAGTCATACATGCTGCCATGTTTAATACACATTTCTCTGTCAGCCCTGTCAAATCAGCCATACCTCTTCATTCTTTTTCTAATTGAACTGTTTTAACATGTAACAATGGTTACATAGCAACTGATGCCTTTAAAGATTTAACTCTTGGGTTGTTGTTTTTCTTTTTTCCCCCAGACACGATACATTAGATTAAACTGCCAAAAAAGTCTGCTTTGGTAGGCAAAGTCAAACTTTAAATAAGGTCATGTGGTGTTAGCAAAGATTAAAATACCAGTAAATCAACCAGTCAAGTGCATGAATCTACTTTAATTAGTGTCCATCAAAATTGCTTGTCTGATGACTTATTTTGATTAAGTTAATCTTCCTGAAAGTATAAAAAAAGCAAAAAAACAACAACAACAACACAACACACACACACACACACACAGGTCCCCAAAATCAGTTGTCCAATAAGGTGGCATTTTTTATAAAAAAAAACTAAGTAAACTTTTTGTCAAAAAAGTAATCCAATTCCATCGAAATATTTTCATGATCATATTTTTGACTATTGATTATTACCGAGTTATGAAATATCATAATTTTTTGATATTTCACAAAAGTTATGACTGTCATTAACTTTTATTCCTCCCTTTATTACTTCCTAAGTCATAAATCATTTGACAGGTCGGCTATAAATCACTGATTTGATATAAAGGAGGGCGCATTTCTAGGCTGCATTTGGAGGAGCCGTCGAATTTGAACAGCCTTCGTAGCGTTGGTGTGACGTAATGTGTCCTCCTAAGGATACAGCCCCTAA